AGAAACAACAACTATGGATCAAGATGGATACCCTATCTATCGTTGTCGCAATAATGGTCAAGTACATACTGTGAGGGGGTAAGAAGTTGATAACAGGGATGTCGTACCATACAATGCATATCTTTCAAAACTTTTCAACTGTCATATAAATGTAGAAGTTTGTGCCGGAATGAGATTTGTCAAGTATATACATAAGTACATTTATAAGGGTTATGATTGTAGAACGATGGTTTTAGGAATGATAAATGAGATTCAACAATATCTCGATGCAAGGTATATTGGACCTCCAGAAGCTGCTTGGCGAATATTTGGTCATCCTTTGCATGCAGAGATGCCAACAGTTGTACGATTGGCACTTCATTTACCTGGAATGCATCGTGTTGTTTTTAACCCAGAAGAGTCATTACAAACGATTCAATCTAGAGCTGGTCAACAAATGTCAACTCTTACTGGCTTCTTTGCATATTGTGCTGCCAGTGAAGATGAATGTCCATTCACTTATCAAGAATTTCCACAACATTTTGTTTGGCTCAAGTTAGAAAAGAGATGGAAATCAAGAGAAATGGGATATGCAATTGGTAGAATGTACTTTGCTAGCTATACTTGTGGCGAAAGATTTTATCTACGTTTGTTACTAACCGTTGTCAAAGGACCAAAGTCGTTTCAGTCTTTACGCACGGTCGATAATGTTGTGCATGATACATTTAAATTAGCATGTGTTGCAAGGGGGCTTTTAGAAGATGATGAAGAATAGATACAATGCTTGAAAGAGGCTGCAGTCATAAAAACTGGATATCAATTGAAGAGATTGTTTAGTATTATTCTCACCCAGTGTTCTCCACTAAATCCATGTGCATTATGGAATCAATTTTCAACGCATATATGTGATGATCTTGCACATAAGATTTGTACATTGTTTGTCATTTCTAAACCAACTGAAGCTCAAATTGAAAATTATGGTCTCCATCTTTTGAATCAAATGCTTCATGAATCAGGCAAAAGTTTAATTGACTTCCCACCCATGCCACAACCTACTGCAAATTTGAGTGCAGTAGTTGGTAATCGATTGATAGTTGAACATCAACAACTGCAGAGTAAGGCACAACATGAAGATCCACAAATTGCTATTGATTGTCTCAATAATGGACAGCGGAATGCTTATAATACAATCACTTCTTCAGTTTTTCGAAATAAAGGAACTGTTTTCTTTCTGAATGGGGGTGCAGGAACAGGGAAAACATTTCTATACAATACGATTGCATTAAAATGTCGTAGCCTTGGGCATATCGTTGTTACTGTGGCTTCATCTGGAATTGCATCACTGTTACTGGTAGGAGGCCGCACTGCACATTCAACATTTTCCATTCCGTTAGATGTATTGGAAAATTCACTTTGTGGGTTTAGCAAACAATCATTACAAGCTGAGTTATTTAGAGAAACAAAACTTATAATTTGGGATGAAGTTCCTATGCAACATAGACATTGTGTTGAGGCGGTTGATCGTACATTGAGGGATATTTGTGATAATGAAAAGCCATTTGGGGGTATTACTGTTGTTCTTGGAGGAGACTTTCGACAAATCTTACCAGTTATACCTAAAGGAGTTCGTGAGCAAATTGTGAATGCATCATTAAGACACTCTGTTCTATGGAAGCATATATATATCTTGACTTTGGGTTTGAATATGCGCTTGAATCATGAAGGCCATGAAAATTCTAATTTTGCAAATTTCTTGATGGAGGTAACACTACTTTAACCTGTATTATATAGATTATTTTAAATTAATAAATCGTGTTTACACTTACTTTTTTATTGATTTCACTTTTTTTTAGATTGGGACCAATCCTCAAGAAATCATTAACCTTCCATCAACAATACACAAATGTCAAGATTTGAATGAATTACTCACTACAGTTTATCCACAATTGAATATGATAGAGACGTCAACCCCAACATTTTTAACTGAACGCACAATTCTGTCTGCGCGTAACGATGATGTCAGTGACATTAATACTACTGCGCTGAATATCTTTCCAGGGAGGTTATATACTTATCTTGCAGCAGATAAAATGTCCGAAGATAATGAAATTGATCCTACCATTACAATTATCTTGCAGGAGATAAAATGCCTGAAGATAATGAAATTGATCCTACCATTACAAATAGATATCCTAATGAATATTTAAATTCATTGGATCCTCCTGGGTTGCCAACTTTTAAGTTAGAGTTGAAAGTGGGTTGTCCTATAATATTGTTGAGAAACATTGCACCGAAAGATGGACTATGTAATGGTACAAGATTGATGGTTACTAGGTGCGGCACTCGCATAATTGAAGCTCAAATTTTAACTGGAGAAAAGTTTGGCAATTTGGCATTCATACCAAGGATATCTTTGACACCATCTTCTTCAGAAATGCCTTTCCAAATGACAAGACGTCAATTTTCAGTCCGATTGGCATATGCCTTGACCATTAATAAATCTTAAGGACAATCTGTGAAATTTGTTGGGGTTGATTTGCGTATACCAGTGTTTAGCCATGGGCAATTATATGTGGCATTGTCTAGATGTACATCTTTTGATCGTATAAGTATTCTCCTCCCTAAAGATGATTTGGATTCTACTACAAATATTGTTTATCCTGAAGTATTGCTGTAGTATTCTATGCAGATAAAATGACTTTTTTTAGAAGGTAACCACGTAGATTTATTTCTGTTGATTATATAACTTTTTAAAAAAATTCAATTTAATAATAATTTGAAATTTGGACTTTTGTAGGATTGGACCGAAAAATCCATGGAGCTTAAAAGGAGAAATACGACTACCTTGCTTCGATGGGGATGTAATAAGGTAATTTCAATCTGAAAGTATTTTTACATGTATATTTCCAACAAATGTACTAATTTATATTTTTTTTGTTTTCACAAATTACCAGATTATTGTGCATATTCCTCATTGGGGATACATAAAAGTTGATACAAAAACTTTTTGGAAAGTAATGTGGAGGAAGTTTGGGCAAACGCATATTTGAAGACATGTTATTGACACATCTTTTGTAAAGCATACATATTTTTGGTGTATGACAATATAATTTTTAGTGTATGACATTTTGTAAAGTTTTAACCTACCCTTTTGGTGTATGACAGTATAACTTTATTTTTGTTTTTTATTCAGTGTTTACACTTTTTTTTACTGCCTTTTATATTTTGATATGCAATATAACTTTAAATCTTATATGTTTGTTTCTTAATTTGCATTAAGATTAGGGAGAGTTGTTATTTTATTTGAGTTTTGTAGAGCGTGTAATACGAGCAAAATTGTTATAAGTTCTTTAAGAAGAAAAATATTTCAATATATTTTTTCAGTATCTTTAACAAAAAATGACACAAACTTTATAAATATCAACATAATACGTATAAATTATAACTATATTTTAATTTTAAAATTATTTACACCGTGCCTTTAGGTACGGGCATACGCTAGTATGGCAATATGGTAAATAAGGCAACTTGTGTAATTTAACTTATTTTAATCTAATTTAATTATACCAAATCCAAATTCAAGTAAATATACCATAAAATCACATAAATCTCAATTAGCATAAAACACTAATCAATTTCTAGTTCGGCCGCCGATAAAGCTTTCAATTTACAGTTTAAATCATAAAACATGAACGGATAATTTGACAGTCGAACAGATAGAAATGCACTTAAACAGATACAGACAATCAATCAGTTTAGTAATTCGGTCAGTCAGTCAGTTAACATGCCTAATCATAGATTAGCACTAATCAGTGTTATTATCAGTAAATAAGAGTGAGGGTTGTCACATTTTGTGAGCATTATTAAATGTAAAAATTTAAAACAAAATTTGATGCATAATCTTTTGATTGAATTTTTTTTTTTTAAAATATATATGAAAGTCTCATATTTAGGATTCACTTTGGTCTCGGATAAGTCAGAACCGGCCCTAAATCAAAGACATTTGTCCACTAAACTCAAAAACAGTAAAATAAAATTACCCAGGACAAGGAAAAGAAGGAAAACAAAGCAGGGGTTTTTTTTTTTTTTTTAATTTAAAAAAAGGGAAAATATATATCCAAAAAAAAAAAAAATGAAGATAAGGAACATGTAAGAAGCATAAGAAAGGAAGAGAAGGCGTTTCTTACAACAACAGAACAAAATCAGACTTTTCAAAGCCAAAAGAATCACCTAATCACATTAATAGAAGAGAAAACATAGCATAATTTTAAAGAGATGAAAAAAAATATATACCCAATTACTGTGTAAAGAGATCACATAATGAAAAATCAAAATAAATATAATATGCCAAAATCAAACGAATGGATAGACAGAAGTAGGAATTGGTGAGAAACTTTTCGTGTTAGTACTTAAGGAGGAAGACTTGGCTGACTTGCACAGGTCGGACTTATTCGTGCCTGCTTAATATTCTAGGAAGCCCCTCTCCTCCTTCCTTCCTTCCTTCCTTCCTCCGTGCTTGGGCTTTGCTTAAAGTTCGAACCATTCTCTCTCTTCTACTTCTGTTCATGTCCATTTGCTTCAATCTCCAACCGTGATGATGATATTCACAGGTACGTACGTTAGTAATGACATCCAGTTTTCTTGGGTTTAGACTGTTGTTTGATTGAAATGTCACAAATCTGTTTCTGTTTATTATTATTTTAATTATCTCTGGCTCAAAATCTTTTAAAAAGGAAAATCATATTAAAATAGTTTACCGATCGATTGACAGTTGCAAGTGCGTTGGTGTATGTGAAGAAGAGGAGCATTTATGAATTCATTCCAGAGAGTGTGAAGAAGGTGTGGACTGAATGGGAGCTGCGAGGGCTGATTCTACTCAGCCTCACCTTGCAGATACTACTGATACTGCTAGGCAAACGCCGAAAGTATATCGCCAGGACTTGGATCAGATTCACCCTCTGGTCTGCCTACTTAACCGCTGATTGGGTGGCAACCGTCGCGCTCGGTGTTATCTCCTCCATTGCCAGCCGCCACAACGACAACAGCAATTACTTCAATACTCATCCTGACTGCCGCCGCTGCAATAATGCTTCAAATCCAGCAGCAGTTGACAGAGAGCTGATGTCCTTCTGGGCACCCTTTCTTCTCCTCCACCTCGGCGGTCCCGACACCATCACCGCCTACTCCATGGAGGATAACGAGCTCTGGTTGAGGCACTTGCTCGGACTGGCGGTTCAGACCGGAGTCGCAGTTTACATCTTCCTCACGTCCTTGCCCGGAGATTCATGGCTTCCGTTAATGAGCTTACCTATGTTTGTGGCCGGTCTAATTAAGTACGGAGAACGGACTTGGGCACTGAGGGCGGCAAACACCGAGAGACTCCGAGAATCGCTGCTCACTCACCCGGATCCCGGCCCCAATTATGCAAAATTCATGGAGGAATTCACTCTGAAGAAAGCTGAGGGGTTCCATGTGAAAGCAGCTGAGGTTATGGAAGAAGCCACTCATCATTCCCCCAGTACTAATACAGGCCGTGAATCAGTAGTGGTGCTCAAAGCATATGATCTGTTCCAGACATTTAGACGCCTCTTCGTAGATCTCATTCTCAGCTTTCAGGACAGAGACAGCAGCTTATCTTTCTTCCTCGAAAGCAATTGGAAAACTGCTTTCAATGTGATTGAGGTCGAGCTTGGATTCGCCTTCGATGTTTTTTACACCAAGGCAGCTGTGGTTTACACTCCCCGAGGTGGCCTGCTTCGCTTGACAAGTTTCTCTTCCACTTTTGTTGTGTTGGTTGCGTTTGTCTTCCTATGCAACACGCACAAGGACCGTTACCACCTGATCGATCTCATTATCACTTTCCTACTGCTGGTTGTGGCAATTCTTCTGGAAATGTATGCTGTCTTTGTTATGATCCGCTCGAATTGGACAGATCATTGGCTGAGTAAAAACAAGAGAACTCGGGACTTTCTCTGGCTGCCTTGTCTGCAAAAACCCGAGAAACAGTGGTGGTCTAATTCCATGGCACAGTACAATTTACTAAGCGTTTGCCTCCGGGATAAGCCAGCAATGTGCCCCAAGATCCAAAGGCTACTTCGGATTGATGAATTTCGAGAGAAACACCGGTACAAGACCTATAACGATGTGTCCCCGAAGCTGAAAGAACTTATCTTCAATCATTTTAAGAAGTTTATGAGAAAAGAGGATCCGTCGGCTTTATGTAAACACAGAGGTAGTTTTGTTCTCAAGGAATACGAGGATTGTACCGAAATTGAGTGGAGTACCAAGGTAGATTTCGACGAAAGCATCCTTATCTGGCACATTGCTACGGATTTGTGCTATTACAGGGAAATGGAGGATGGTCATGGTGGTGGTGGCGAAGACAATACAGAAAGTAATAAAGAGGAGAGCATACAAATTTCTGACTACATGTTATACCTACTGGTAATGTGTCCAGCTTTGTTACCAATAGGAATTGGGATGATCAGGTTTCAAGACACTTGTGCCGAAGCCAGGGAATTCTTTGAAGAAAGAAGTCACATATCTATAATTGGTAATGAATTAGAATTTAAAGCCAATGCTTGCAAGAAGTTGCTTTATGTGAACACTGAAGTATTGCCGATTAAAGTGAAGGGGGACAGGAGCAAATCTGTGTTGTTCGATGCATGCAGGCTTGCAAAGTCTTTGCGAGACAAAAAGGGGGGGAAATGGGAAATTGTGAGTCATGTTTGGGTGGAGATGCTAGCTTATGCTGCTACTCGCTGCAGGGGGCGTCAACATGCTCAGCAGCTCCGAAAAGGAGGAGAACTTCTCACTCACGTCTGGCTTCTCATGGCACATATGGGTATCACTGAACAGTTCCAAATAAAAGGCCATGCCAGAGCCAAGTTGATTGTGAAGTAGGAACCATGGCACATTATATAGTAGTGTAGGTTACATTAAGTATGAATGTAATTCACACATATTTTAAATTATGAGTTTTTTTTTTTTTGCTGGTAATGAATTTAAATTTAATCTATCAACTTGATTCTGAAACCATTTATCAAATTTAGAAATATATAGCAAAGAAGTTAACCATCGCTCTGTCTTCAGTCAATTTACCTTCTACTTGTAGGAATTGTAGGATGGTCTTTGTTAATTAAGTTGTACACAATTATTATACTGGTACAAAGCTAACCGTAATGAACCAACAAATAACAAAAGCAAGGTGTCCATATGAAATGAAGTACTCATATAATAAATATGACCATCAAAACTCAATATTTCAATCTTCCCAGACTTCTGGTAGCACTGCCGAGGTTGAAAACAAATAAAAATCAAGTCCACTAATAAGTTGTCTAAGCTTTTCTTAAAAAGTTAACGAATTTTCACTTGTTTAAATTTGGCATATTTAGCTTTATTCTTTATGAAACATATAATTGAGTTGAGCCAAGTTGAAAACATAATAAACTGTAAAAAGTGTTGAAGGTTGATCTATTTATATAATGAATTGATCTCAAACGATCTTTTTATGAACCAAATACAACTCAAGTTCGAGTAACATAGTTCGTTTTTTTGGGCTCTAGCTCACCTAATCCAGCTTTCCAAAGATGTCCACACTTTCCAATTTACTTTGTCATCGTTTGCCTCGTGTTTTTCTGTAGACTAAATCAATTCAAAAATGACTGACTCACCACCTACCACTCAGAAAAGTCCGAGACAAGACAACACTCCTGTCTATTATATGAAACTTTTCTATAGTTTTTCAACCCTCACACTCACATATTGGTCTTTGCAAATCTGTTGATTCTTTCAAATCCGTTGAATCTTCTGCAATTTTGTATCATTAAGGTTGCCTATTTAGCAAATGATCAAAATATCACAATTAATATGCGTGCTATGTATATATTAGTGGTAGATAAATTAGGAACAAATTTGCCACCATATTGCAATTAATTCCGAATATGTTTCATTCACTTTGACATTTTAATTTAATAAATTTTAATAGAAAGGAAGGAGTCCAACAGTAAATCAAAAATAACCAGCTCTTATTATTATGATTTTTATTTTTGGGGGGCTGCTGGTTTGAATGAAAGCAGAAACACAAACAAGAACTAATAAAACACAACAAAAAGCAAATTAAGACAATGGGAGAAAAAGATGGCAAGGCCAACTTCTCCCCAAGCTAATTCTAACTGATAGATCAGGGCAGATGATGATTCTGCTGGTAGTAAGTCTGCGAACTTGTTTCGGACAGATTGTAAAAATGCAACATCATCTTACGTTCTATCAGTCTTTTTATTCTTCTTCCCACTGCAACCAAAACAAAATAATTTTAGACAGTTCAAGAAACAGCCAATATGACTATGCTTGCGCAATTTTAAAATAGTCTAGCGAGTTTATTTTAACAATCAATCAACAAGCGAAACAAAAAAGCCAAAAAAATTAAACAGAAAAGCAATAACTCACCTCCGCGGGCAAAGAAGTGAAACTCCAATGATCATTAACAGTAAGGTATGTATGATCACGTTTTTGCTGTCGAACATTAGCTACGAATTTTTCTGGCATTTTTGTCAAGACCAGTTCTTCAAGGGAGTTCAGCAGAATTGGAGGCAGGATACTCAGCTTACAACAGCATCTGATATTCAATTCTTTGAGATTCGGCATTGCCCCTTCCTCCACATCCCATTCCTCCAAGTTATTCAGCATCCAGAGTTTCAAGCCCTTAAGCTTAGAGAATCCCCCGACAGGGCAAACAATTTTCTTCCTGAGACACGAATTAGCTAAAAGCCTGAGAACAGTTAGGCTCTGCAACTGCCCCAGAATTGGCATGGGATCTTCAGTAAGGCGTGAGATTGACAATGTTAGAACTTTGAGTCCTGGTGGAAAATCATGTATATCAGGTAGCTTCTGTAAACTACCTAGCATATTCAGGTGGGAAAGCTTATCTAGGGCCGACAATGATTTCAAATGTAGTTCGGAAGGACGTCCCCTTTCGTCTTTGGATCGCAACCTTAGAGATTGAAGGCTGGTCAGTTTTGAAATCCAATCAGCTAAGTCTAAGCTGGATTCCAAAATCAGATTGAACGTAATGCCTAATTCTCTTAGATCATGTAATTTGCTTAACCCATTCTTAATCGAACTCTTGTCATCTACAAACAATCCCCATAAAGTCAGGAGCCCCGGCAAGAGACGAAGCGGTTTTTTAGGCATGTCGAGACGGATTTCATTAAGATTGAGATGTCGGAGATGCTTCAATTTCCAGATGGAGTTGGGTAGGCTATTGATATTTGTGTGCTTGAGATCCAATGTCTCGAGGTTGGGCAGGTCGCCAACAGATTTAGGGAGGTTGTCCAAGAAAGTCCATCTCAACCCCAAGTACCTCAAATTAAAAAGAACTCCGAGCTTATCTGGTAGACTCGGTTTATAGACGCCTTCTAGGTCGAGCACCCTGAGCAACCCAAAGCCTCTGCTACCAATGATTTTTTTGACAAAATTGGCGACTTCCCTTGCAGGGATGTCTTTCTTTTGAATGTTGAACGATATGTAAGACCTCAGATATTGAAGTTGCGAGAAATTGAGAGAGCAATTCTTGATATCTTGGTACTCGACAATCCGGCGAAGCACAAATTGGCCTTCTGCTTCCTTATTGTAATCAAAATTGCTGCGATGGACATGGAAAAGGTTGATTTCTTGGGTTTTACTGAGCAAGTAATCATGCAGGGCGCTCGGTAACCGACATCTTCTGGGGCTCCCATCGGACCTAAATTTCGATATCTGAATCAAGTTTCGGTTAACCAGATCCTCAAAGTATTCTCCTGCTACATCCTCCGAGGCCATTGTTGGGGATTGCTTCACGAATCCCTCGGCAAGCCACAACCGGACCAACCTCCTAACCGGGATGTCGAATTCTTTAGGAAAAAGCGCCAGATAGATCAGGCAGAGTTTTCTGCCTGCAGGTAGGTCATCGTAACAGAACGATTGGATGTTGAACAAATGCGCATGACATTGCCTACAGATATGTTCTAACACTTGTGATAATTCATCATCGCTGCTTTTGGTAGATAACAAACCTGCAAGGAGGACAATCCTCAAGGGCATACCTTGGCATATTTCAAGAATCTTCATCATGTTTTGATCCTGGGAAGCATATTTAGTGAATCTTTCTCGGGGCCGTGCCTTGTTCAAGAACATTTTCCGGCTTTCTTGATGATTTAGCCCCTTCATACGATGCAGATCCGCGGACGACGAACAATTACCCACTTGTTCATGACAAGTAGTCAGGATGATCTTGCTGTATCGATTTCTTGCTTCCAGAAACACATGTTTTAGTTCATCCCAGACACCACCATCGGCATGGACATTGTCTACGACAACCAGATACCTATTCGCCGACGACAGCATGTCTACCAGGACTTGCTCGGGATTTAGAGGCACCCCCCCTTCGCATTTGTCCTTGGAACTCTCGAGCTGTTTTAACAAGCTGAGCAAGAGATCCTCTTTCGTGTAATCTTTGGAGAAAAAAACCCAAGCGCGGCCGCCATTGAAATACCTCTTGACACCTTTGCTTTTGTAAATTGCTTGTGCCAGCGTAGTCTTCCCCGATCCCACCGCACCAACAATTGAAAGAATAGCATAGCAGCCACCTTCGTCGTCAGAGGTTTTAAGCCGTTTCACCAACGCATTTACATCGTCTTGAATCCCAACAATTCCTGATTCTTCTTCTTCGTAAGAAAAAGAAAACGTAAGTGTACGCCGCTGCCTCAGACTCGGAGTTTTTACAGCAACATTATTCCGGACAGGGCATGGGTATTCTACTACTTGATCATCATCATCTTTTTCTTTGTCTGCTGGATGATGGTCGTCATCGTCGATGATGATATTATTAACAGATTGACCAAAAGTGTTTCGCTGATGGTGTGAATGTGACGACTCGTTGATGTTGTTTTGAAAACCGTTCTCGTCGGAGACAAGGTATTTCCAACTCGCCGTCGGAATCAGAAGGCTGAGATTCTTGAGACGGTTGATTTCAGTTTCGATTGCAGACCCAATACGATCGATCTTTCGGTGGAGCTTTCGGCAAGACTTGCGGTTGTTGAAGAAGAAAAGGAAACAACACCTCTGGCGTTCAAGGGAAAGTGCAATTTTTTCGATGTCATCTTCAACTTGGTAAACAATGCGGAGGTAGTCATGATTGGTCCAGTCCTTCTTCACCTTCATCGAATTGTCGATGAAGAAGCCTCCCATCTTCTTGAGTTTGATTTTGATCTCCTTCATCGGCTTTTTCACTTTGTCGAACACCACTGTTTCTTCGATCTCCAAGTCCGTCAGTTTTTGTTTTACCACAGACACTACTGCTTCGACCACATCCATCAGAATCAGATTATCTCGATCGAATGCACAAACACACCAAATACGATGACTAACTTCTCTTCTCTTCTCCTCTTCTCTTCTATTCTGTTCTGGGTACCAAAGATCAGATCAGGATTGAGTATTGTACCCACCCAAAAATAAAATATACTGATACAACAATTTTAAATTATACTTATCATTTACAGTCAGATATGATACTTGCACATAAATTGGGTTTAATATAAATTGGGAAAGAAAGGCTATTACGAGCCAATTTTCTAGCAATGAAGACAGATATATGTTTCTTTCACTTGACTCAAATATTGGTCAAGCCACCATAGTTGAATGAGACTTGTGGCCAAGAAATGAGAAAGAAAAGTCATTTGGAAAAAAATAATGAGCGTCAATAAATAAAGTGCATGGATAATTTACAAACCAATATTCAGAAAGTCATGATCAGTGTAATAATTTACTTTTATTTATGGATTCTATGGATTCTAGTAGTCACTCAAAAAAAAATTAAAGTTTGAGAGTAAAATTTAAGGATAAAATTAATTTTTTAAGGATTAAATATTTTTATTACGAAAAATATCGTTATTATATTTTTAGTAAAGAATATTGGATATTAATGATGAATTATTATCCTTTTGAGATTAATTTTTTTGTCTCAAAAAATAAACTATTTTGAGATCAAATTATTTTGTTCTTAAAAGTTTATTTATTAGTGACATTTTCAAAATTTTGTCACTAAAGTCTTGTTTTTTTACCTTTTGAAACGATCATTTAGCGACTATCTTCATGACGATTAAAATTGGTTCCTAAATATCTTTTTCAACAAAATTTTCACTTTTAAAAACTAAAATATTTGATCACTAAAACTTTTATATGTTGTAGTGGGTGATTTTTTTTATTTTCTTTTTTTTTTCCCGCGGTTGACAACTCTCCTACTTGGACAATAACCATTCCAATAATCCGATGCGTCATTTGAGTAAAAATATAGTGTAACCATAATACCATATAATTTTTATGTGTGGAAGGTTTCTCTTATGTTTTAAGCATAATTACCTTGTCACACATATATGACAGATAAAATAGTAAGAAATTATTGGACAATGATACTAATGACATAATATGACTGTTACATTAAAAAAAAAAAAATTGTATCATCTCATATAAAAGGTAATTCAATTAAAATTCTGTGAATGATTTTTGTGCATTATATATAAACTTTTCATATGGTAAAAGCCGCACAATCTTGCCCACCATAAATTAAACTTTATAAATATTTTTCTTGTACATTAAAATACCCTTCTCTGTTGAGTTTAATAACTAAAATATCATTTTTTTAGTCAATTTTATTTTAAAAAATAAATAAATGATTTAGACTCAAAATAAACCAAAAGATTAGTGTTTAAATCGATAAAATAAAAAATTCAGAATTTATTTTATTACAAGAATCAAATCCTAAGATTTTTTTTTGTAACCTTCCCTAGAGTTATTTTGCATTGATCACGAATTGATTATGAGACTATTCTTTCTTTGTGCACCAAATTTGCTGGTTCGATGCCAGCTTTGGAAGTCTTCTTGAAATGGTGACATGGTTGATTAATTTCCAAAGACAAAAGCTATAATCATCACACGACTTGCAAGTCTTCAATACAAATGAATGAGCACCTTTGCAATTTCGCCCAAGTTGCTTTGCAATTTACTCGAGTAGAAGCAAATACTTTTCTCACTTGGGCCAAAGATTGCCGAGTGGCTGAAATTGAAAAGGGAAGGTGACAAGAAACGGGAAACAAAGGTTTACGAGCCAATTTTCTAGCAAAGACAGATACATGTTTATTTCACTTTACTCAAAGATTGCTTGTACGGGGAGGAAATAATTCTACTCATATAATCCTGTTGACCAAGTCCACGCTCCTCCGTACGACGTCGCTTTATCACCTGAAAACACAAACGTGAGCTAGCCGGCGGGTGTGTGCCGGAAACCTCTCCGATGCCTAAGTCAGTAAGCTTGACAAATAGACAAAGTTTTATACTCTCAGAAAGAATTATGTCCAATTACCTCCTCCAAGGTGATGCTTGTGGGCTTTTATAAGTTTCCCGTGGCACAATCCTAGTAGGACTTGTATTCCTCCATGCAGAATCCTCCTAGGATTCATACTCCTAAGGATAATGCTTATCCTTTTACACCCTCCCCCACTGCTTAAACCAAGTGGGATGGTTTCCTCCATGGCCGAACCACCATTTGACCGAAATAAAACTTGGCTATACTAAGCCACCGAGTGGACCGAACTCATTCATAGTACGGTTCTTTTGTTTTCCCTTTCTTATCTCGGCTTTCCATATAGAACCCATAGCATGGTTTTAGACCGAACCAGCGACTTTCGACCGATATAACCCCAAGACCGGCACAACTCCAAGTTGCTTTCAGACCGAAGTACCTCTATAGTCACTGTGCCGAAGTAACTTTGTCCCTCTTTATGCCGGAATAGCTTTGCCTCTCCTTGGCCGGAGTAACCCTGTCTCTCCTGGGCCGGAACAACCTTGCGGCCTTTTCACCAAGTCCTTGGCACTTTGGGCCACGAAGCCCACCACATAGCTCGGCCCAATTTTTACCAAAAATTACCCTCTCAATTGCCCCTTAATTCCATCTGCGTAGCATGATTGGGATTACCAGTCCACCAGCCGAGCTGGCGTCATTTTAAGCTTTTCCAGCCGAGCTAAAAATACTTTAGTCTCTCCAGCCGAGCTAAAAACTCTCGAACTTTTAAGCCAAGCTAATTTTACTCCGGGCTCCGTTTTGTCCGGTCAAAAACGTCTTTTCAATCATAGCGTCTGTAACGCTTCCCATTCCAGTGACACGTGGCAGGCTCTGATAAGCTGTGGCCAACTGTCACGCCGCCCTGTAGAAATTTTGTACAGTTCCCGCCTTTTCTCTCTCTTATTTCACAAAACACTCTTTTCTTTTTTGAACCTTTCACCCATTCTTTTCACCTTCTCTTCTCCCTTGTTTCCTGAGCCCCTGAGCTTTGAGCTTGCTGTGTTCGTGCCTCCATTGATGCCATTGCCTCCATCTCTTAGCTTCTCTCTTATTCGGGTAAGCAAGCCTATCCTTCTTGCTCTTTTACCTGTTTTATCATCTGTTTTTGTTTTGTATGCTTTTTGAAAACACTTTTCTCCATTTGTTGCTTTTGCTTCCGTATTTTTATGAAAAAACCAGTAGAACTTCATGTGTGTATGAACTATTATGTAGAAAAACCAGTCTTAGATCCAAAATCACATAGCAACCGAACTAGGATACTGTTTGTTCAATATTGGTAGCTCACTTCAGTCAATAGCCGAACTAGAGCTTGTAGAGACAACAGTAGCTTTAAAAAATAACCTTCTGATTCAATTTAGCCGAAATAAGATCACCGAACGAAGTCTGAATATACCAAACTAGGAACCTCGGTTTTCAACCGAACTAAGCTTTTGGGGCCAAGCAAGCTTTCTTAGTTCCTAAACCGAACTCAGAAAGCCGCCCCTAGAGGCTTAACCGAAGTAACTTTATTCATACTGCAACCGATTTAGGCCTTGGGGCTAAACCAGCTTTCTTAGTTTTTTAGACCGAACTCAGAAAGCTGCCCCTAGACGTTAAACCGGTCTACCGAGCAACCTGCCCAAACCGAGCTACCAAACCTTTCGATGAACCGAGATAGAACCAGCTTTTTGAGGCCGAAGTAGGGCTCTTATACCTTGCTTTTAAATTGTAGCACGGTCCAACGATCAATGCTTTAACCCCCTCTGTTTTCTACTTTGCAGACTTAGGTTACCCAGGCACTCCTGCGTGCGCTCAACCGAGCTACTGAGCACGATTTTTGCACCGATATAAATTATAAGTAAATTATACAACAGATGGGTAAGTATAGGTATCTAGTTGAGACCCCTGGTGGCATGGCCGAATTTAGGAAAGATTACCATATTCCTGAAGACGTCCATCTGATGTTAGCCGAAAAAGATGTTATTCCCTGGGAAAAAGAAGGCTACGTCCCTTTTACCCTTCAATCCATAATAGAAACCGGACTACGGTTTCCTGTCCAACCATTCGATGCGGTCGGTGGAGCAAAAAATGGCGGTGCAAACTGATATTGAGGCCAATCAGTATACTCTGAAGGCATGTGTGGAAACCATGACTGCG